CCAAATTTCTATACACCCACCTGGCCACAAATTGTTTAAAACCACGTTTAATTTGGTCCCCAAATTATTACTTAGCAAAACACCGCTCAAGGCTCTGACAGTTTTTACTGATGGCTCGGGGAAATCCCACAAGTCAGTCATGACTTGGAAGGACCCCAGGACACAGAAATGGGAGTCTGATGTCCAAGTGGTCGAGGGATCACCACAGATTGCTGAATTAGCAGCCGTCGTCAGAGCTTTTCAGAAATTCCAAGTACCTTTCAATCTGGTGACCGATTTGGCTTATGTGGCTGGAATAGCTCTGAGAGCAGAACATGCATTTCTGAAAGAAGTCTCTAACCCAAATTTATACCAACTGCTTTCTGAATTAATATATTTCATCTCCCACAGAAAGCAACCATACTATATCATGCATGTGAGGTCACACACTGACCTCCCTATCCACACTCGCATCCAGAGACTCCAACATGCGGTTCAGGAACTCAAGACTGAAAAGGAGCCCCAATGGTTTGAGGACTTTTTGGGCAGCTGGAGACTCAAGGGATGGCTTGCTTCCATTCTAAAAAAAAAGCATTTTTTGGGTTATCTTAATTATAATTATTTACTGTTTGTAAGAAGTTGTTGACAAGGTCTCTGGGAGATGCCTTTTTATTAAAAAAAGAAGGGGGAATTGTGGACGCCAAAGAACCAGTCAACCTCAAAATCGTGGCTCGCCCCTGGAGAGCTTCTCCCTAGGTGAGACACTTTTATGTCGTGAAGAGAAGAAGTGTCACTCCCAGAGGCCCTTGAGTTGAAGATGTTAATTTCTTACATCCCATTGGTTTCCCTCCCTATCAATCCACCCTGATATATGTATCCAAATTTCCCCTGCCCCTCTCCTTCCCTATATATAAAAACCGAAATACCTCGGTTTTCCCCAGTTGGGAGAGCTGCTGTCCCTGGCTGCCTCCACTGAGGGCCCTGCTATAATAAAGGCTATTTCTCAGTGGAATGCCATCCAGCTCTCCAGTCTCTCTCTCCACGTTGCCTGCACGCTGCCGCTGAGCTGAGATCACTCACCGGGCAGAGGATGTGCCTGTGCCCCTGGACAGTCCTTTTCAGGACGGCTTCTTCAGGGTAGTCACGGCACCCCTGTCATCGACACCGCCACAGCACTTTTACACTGAGGAGAAATGAGCTTTTACAGTGAGGAAAAGGAACTTTTACACTGAGGAGAAATGAGTTTTTAAATGAGCTTTTGCATCGAGGAGAAATGAGTTTTACACTGAGGAATGGGGTTTGCAGCTGGGAGCTTCAACAAAGCCCAACAGCAACAACAAACAGTCCCGTGTCCTTCAATCCTCCCGTTCCCAGAAGGAACAGAAGTGTTGACATTCCTTATGGAGATAGTGGGACACTGCTCTGGATTCCCTGATCCCAAACCATCCACCACAATCATTGTCTGCTTCCAACACTAATGGTTCCTTGTTTCTTTTGGTTCAGCTTTGGCCAAATCCTCATTTGTTTCACCCTTTCCCAAGGGTAAAAACCCCACCTGTATCCCCGAGCCGCGTCCCTGCAGGCAAATCCAACTGGGCAGAATGCAAATTTCACTCACTGGGATGGAATTTTCCAAAAATACTTGGATTAGCAGGTCTGCAGTGCAAAGAGAACTGGAGCAGAGGTGGCCGGGGTCGGTGTCCCCTCGGACCTTTGACACAATTTTGGAGCCTCTTGGTTTCTTTTTCCCTTCACATGAGGTCAAATGCGGTAAAATAATCCCTGGAGTTGGATTTCTTAACCCAGACAACTTCCTAGTTCAGGAATGGGCGAGAAAAGCAATAAAAGGCATAAAACTCTTGAGTAGGAGACAATTTGAGGACAATTCAGCAATTTTTTTTTACCTTTGTCAGTTGAGGGGTGATGTGGGGGTACCCTGGAAATGTCCAGCAGGGCTGGAAATTCAACTTCCCTGAGTTTGCTCAAACTTGAGGATCCAAGCTCCAGATTTCTCTGGAATTATCATTTTACCCTGGAATTGATGGTGACAGTGCAAGGGGTGCCTCCAGGAAAAACCAAATTATTTACATTTATATTATTTAAGAATAATAAAAGTCTAAAACCACAAGTCTGGAACCACAGTGTCTGGAACCACAGTGTCTGGAACTCAATCTAGAACCATGACTCTGGAACCGAGTCTAGAACCCGCTCTAGAACCGAGTCTAGAACCCGCTCTAGAACCGAGTCTAGAACCCGATCTAGAACCGAGTCTAGAACCCGCTCTAGGACCGAGTCTAGAACCCGCTCTAGAACCGAGTCTAGGACCCGATCTAGAACCGAGTCTAGAACCCGCTCTAGAACCGAGTCTAGAACCCGATCTAGAACCGAGTCTAGAACCCGCTCTAGAACCGAGTCTAGAACCTAGTCTAGAACCGCATGTCTGGAACCCAGTCTAGAACCACTAGTCTAGAAACCACCATTCTTTTTTCTCCTCTGTCTTTTCCTCGGCCCCAGCCCTGCCTTGTCCAAGCCCTCCATGTGAGCTCTCCCACGGGATCTCCAGCAGCCGGAATGTCACCCTGATGGTGGCAGCTCCTGGCTGGGAGCCACCAGGAGGAGGTTCCAGCCACTTAAACCTCACACTAATTAACTCTGCTATTCCACTGCCCTCATTTCCCTCGCTCTGAGCTGCTGCCCTCACTGAGGCTCATGGCAAATTCTCCTCTCCGGATGGTTCTGCTTCCCTGTTCTCCTTCAAACACGGAGCCTTGGGAAGCTCTCCAGCCTTGGAGAACGACTCTGAGCCACCCAACTCCCCCAGAGTCCTGCAAAGAATAAATAACTCCAAATTTCAACATTCCCAAGTGAAAATGACTCCCATTTCTTGCCTCTGATGTCCCCTCCAGGCAGGCATAACCTTGGCATAACCTTGCTCATCCCATAAACAATGTCTTATGATTAGGGGAGGATTAAAATTCTGAATTAAAGCCGCAGAAGAAATGAGTCACTTTCTGCAGCAGAAAGGTCAGCAGGCACCCAGGAACTAAACAATCCCAGGGGAATAATGTCCCGATGGCTCCGTGAATATTAAACTGCCCCCTGCTAAATTTAGCCGAGTTTGAACAAAGAATATTTATATGAACTTTTAGTAAACATTAGTACTCTAAAAATAACATTTTGAGAGGGAACATTGCCTGTCTTTGATTCAGACTCCCTGGTGAATGGCATTTGTATGAGTAAAGTGTCAGGCAGATAACGTATCTCTGCCATAAACAAGCCCCAAAAAAAGGAAGTTTCAGATGACCAACGTGCAGCTCGCCCAGAAACGGGGCTAAAAAAAGCCTTTCTGAACATCTGGCATTTGCGTAACTCATATTTTAGTGGTTTGGGTGAAGTTTGCTGGAGCTGGGCAGGGTTAAGGGCCGGCAGTTGTTGGGCTGAGGTGGGTTTTGCTGGGAAGGAAGGAGCCAGCTGGAATGGGAGCTCCAAATACAGGCAGGCACCTCCAGAGGAGCAGCAGCTCCCAGGCCAGGCAGGAATCTGGGAATTCCAGCTATGTGGGTGAATTCCAGCTCCCAGCGTGGCTGCTGGCTGAGCAGGAATAGGGGAGAGAGGAAAAATACCCCGAGGAGCCTGAAAACAAAGTGGGGAAAGGAACAGCACTGAGGGGCTGAGCAAAAGGTTTAAAAATGAGGTTTTATACTGAGGAAAAGGAGCTTTTAAATGAGGAGAAATGAGCTTTTAAATGAGGAGAAATGAGCTTTTCAATGAGGAGAAATGAGCTTTTACAGTGAGGAGAAAGGAGCTTTTACATTGAGGAGAAATGAGCTTTTACAGTGAGGAAAAGGAACTTTTACACTGAGGAGAAATGAGTTTTTAAATGAGCTTTTGCATCGAGGAGAAATGAGTTTTACACTGAGGAATGGGGTTTGCAGCTGGGAGCTTCAACAAAGCCCAACAGCAACAACAAACAGTCCCGTGTCCTTCAATCCTCCCGTTCCCAGAAGGAACAGAAGTGTTGACATTCCTTATGGAGATAGTGGGACACTGCTCTGGATTCCCTGATCCCAAACCATCCACCACAATCATTGTCTGCTTCCAACACTAATGGTTCCTTGTTTCTTTTGGTTCAGCTTTGGCCAAATCCTCATTTGTTTCACCCTTTCCCAAGGGTAAAAACCCCACCTGTATCCCCGAGCCGCGTCCCTGCAGGCAAATCCAACTGGGCAGAATGCAAATTTCACTCACTGGGATGGAATTTTCCAAAAATACTTGGATTAGCAGGTCTGCAGTGCAAAGAGAACTGGAGCAGAGGTGGCCGGGGTCGGTGTCCCCTCGGACCTTTGACACAATTTTGGAGCCTCTTGGTTTCTTTTTCCCTTCACATGAGGTCAAATGCGGTAAAATAATCCCTGGAGTTGGATTTCTTAACCCAGACAACTTCCTAGTTCAGGAGTGGGCGAGAAAAGCAATAAAAGGCATAAAACTCTTGAGTAGGAGACAATTTGAGGACAATTCAGCAATTTTTTTTTACCTTTGTCAGTTGAGGGGTGATGTGGGGATACCCTGGAAATGTCCAGCAGGGCTGGAAATTCAACTTCCCTGAGTTTGCTCAAACTTGAGGATCCAAGCTCCAGATTTCTCTGGAATTATCATTTTACCCTGGAATTGATGGTGACAGTGCAAGGGGTGCCTCCAGGAAAAACCAAATTATTTATTAATATTTCCCCTAATAATAATAATAATAACAGTGGGAACATTGGAATTAAGACTGGGAAAGCTCATTAGCTGTACTCACACCCATAAAATCACCAGGTTCTACCTTAAAACCGATTTCCTTTCTTACCTTCAATATCTTCCCTCCAAAACCTCCAGAATCTTGACCTCTGACAGTTAAAATTTACCTAATTTGAAGCTCATGTTTATTCATGAGCAGCTCATTTTAGCACTTGGCTTTGGCCTGGTGGCTGAGGAGCAGAAACAGCTTTGAAGAGAAAAACAACATTTTTATTTTTATTTTAGCTCAACGGACACAGCTGGGCTGAGACAAAGGAGGTTTGAAGCCACAAACCTCCTTCCTCAGGCCTGAAAGAGAAAAAAATTCAAGTTAAACACAGCTCAGGAGCAGGTCTGAATAAAAGTTAATGATGTCAAACACAATTTGAGGAGAAGTACCCTGAAGATAATGAGGATAGGAATAAGGAGTGGGATGGTGCCATGGGGCACAATGAGGCAAAGAAGATGCCAGAACCCAAAAGATCTGGAGGATCCTATACTTTATTAAATAGGAAATATCTAAATATATATATATATATACACACATATATTCCTTCAGAAACTTCCCTTGGAATCCTGGATATTTGGATTTTACACTGTGAAAGCTGAAGACCCCAAGGCAAAATGACAAACAGGACCCCAAATACACGAATTTGGTTTTACTGATTTTTTTACCACCCCACTGCAGGACAAGGAACCTTTAATATTTTTAACTGTGACCTTTTAATCCTGCCACAGTGGTTTTATAAAAAGGGAGAACAAGGCAAGATATTATTTTAAAATGCACATTATCAACTTAAAAAAATATGGTTGAAAAGCCTGATATTGCTCAGAGAACCCCAATTAAGAAACATCTGGAATAATTCAAATTAAAGCACAGGTTCCACAAGGTGTTGAGTTAACTTACCTTAAAAAGCCTTATTTTATGTGAGTTAACTGGGGAGGAGGAGGCTCTCTGGAGAGATAATAGTTTAGGAATTTGTGTCTATTTACAAAAAACAAACTGTTCAAAAAATTCCTTGTAAAGAGACATTCCGGGAAGATTCACTCCACATTCCTTTCTCTGAACAGCTTAACTGAAAAGGAAAAAAAACAAAAAAAATTAAAATTTAATTCCTCCCACCTTTTTTTTTTTTCTTTTTGTTTTTCAGGAGTTTAGAGAAAAATCCTTCCCGTGCCACTGCTGGACGAGTTTCAAACAATCAGATGGGAATTGGGGAATAAAGGAGGGGAGACAGCAAAGGAAAAAAATCACGACTTAATTATATCCCGCACACCTCTGCGGCTCGCCGGGCTCCCGAGGGGATGGTGGTGGGGGTGACATTTCCACCTGCCCCATGACTAATTTAGGAAAAGGAAAAGCTGGCCAAAAAGTTATTTTTGGCCACGATGGTGACGGCAGCGCACGGGGCCAGCGAGGGAGAGGGACAGGTGCAGGGCCAGAGTGTGACATGGGGCTGGGATGAGCCCCAAAAATGTCACACTGGAGTTCAAACTCCCTGAAAATGTGACACAGCGGGGATGAAATTCCCCCAAAAATGTGGTATTGGGGGGTTGAACCTCCCTCACCCCCCCAAAAAAATGGAATGAGAGGGTTGGAACCCCACAAAAAGTGACTTGAACCACCCCCCTGCCCCAAACTGTGACATTGTGGGGTTGAAACTGCTCAAAATGTGACACTGGGGGCATTACACCCCTCTAAAATATGACATTATGGGGTTGAACCCCTAAAATGTGGCATTGTAGGGTTGAACCCCCCCCAAAATGTGACATTAGAGGGTTGAAACTGCCCAAAATGTTACACTGGGGGGGGGGGTAAACCCCCTCAAAAAGCGACGTTATGGGGTTGAACCCCCCCAAAATGTGACATTGGGGTGTTGGACCCCCCCCAAAATGTGACATTGGGGTGTTGGACCCCCCTCAGGATGTGCCCCGGGAAGGTTTGGGCTGAATCTCTCCCAAAAATGTGACATTGAGGCTTGGCCGGACCTGCCCAAAACGTGACATAGCGGCTCATGATGGTCACAGGGCTCCTCCGGGGCGGGGACACGGCCCTATAAATCCGCCCCAAAATCGCCTTTTCCTCAATGAAAGGGTCGGGGAGGCAGAGCAGGAGCAGGGAAAAGAGGGAAAAGAGGGAACAGCGGAGTTTTTGTTCCGCTGAAAGTTCTTTCAGCCTTCCCAAATTTGGGTTTTTTTCCACCCCCCCTTCCTCGCCACATTCCGGCTCAAGAGGCGACTCGGCAAAATGAAATATATTATAGGCATCGGAGGGTAAGTGCCTGCTAAAATCTGGGATATATAATGTTTTTCCTGTTTTAATTTGGGGAGTATTTATCTGGCTATAAAATAATATTCGGGATACAGGGTTTGGGAGATGATGCAACTTGCTGAGTGTTAATTCGTGATGCTTAAATGAAGAGAGCTCCACAGGGTGACATACACTTTTATATATACTTCAACATGTATCTTAATATGTACTTTTATTTAAATATCTTTTTTTATATATTTTTATAGGATTAAAAGGATGGATGCTGCTTCAACAGAGTTTTGCAGGGCAGCACATCCCTTTATACAGACTTAGCTATATTTTAGATACACTTTTTATATCTCTTATATACTTATTTGTGCTATATACATATTTATAGATACAATTTGCACGTTTATATATTTTTAGAGCTACTTTCATCCATAGTTTTATATATCCTTTTAGAGGCTTAACAGGAGGGATGCTGAGATGGCAAAAACACTCTCAAGTAAATTTAGAGGCCAGATAGGCAAAAAATATTATTTTAAAATTTTCTCTGAAAAACGAAGAGGGGGAAAATCCCGTTTCTAATAAAATGGGATGGTGGTGTATAGAGGGCATTGATTTTCAAATTAAAAAGCAGGATTTAAGGTGGGTTTGTGCTAGGACAGGGTGAGAGTTCGGGAAACAGTGAGGGGTAACACAGGTTATTAGAATGATAATATATTAATAATATGCGACCGAGGGATTTACACAGGCTCGGGACGAAAAAAAGGAGGAACAAGACAAGGGAGAGGAAAGTTATTCAGGGCTTTTACATTAAGCGAGTTATGAGGGAGCGAGGGCATCTTGAGCAACGGGGCCGCGGCTGTGAGGGACCGGCCATGGCGGCCTCCCGTTCCCCTCAGGATCCCCGGTTCTGTGAGGGACCGGCCATGGCGGCCTCCCGTTCCCCTCAGGAGCCTCAGTTCTGTGAGGGACCGGCCATGGCGGCCTCCCGTTCCCCTCAGGATCCCCGGGTCTGTGAGGGACCGGCCATGGCGGCCCCGCGCTCCCTCAGGAGCCCCGGTTCTGTGAGGGACCGGCCATGGCGGCCCCGCGCTCCCTCAGGAGCCCCGGTTCTGTGAGGGACCGGCCATGGCGGCCCCTCGCGCTTACCTCAGCGCCGCCGTTGCGCGCGCGCGGGAACCGGCGTGGCCGTTACACGCGGGCGCGCAGCGCTGGAAGGGGCGGGGCCGGTTGGGGCTGCCACAGCCAATCGGCAGTCGGGGAGGGGGCGGGACCGGGGTGGTCGCAGCCAATCGACGGCCGGCGCTGGAAGGGCGGGAAATTCAAACGGGGGCGGGGTTGGGGTCCCTCAGGGTCAGTGCCGGGGTCCCCTCAGGGGCTCGGGTCCCCTCAGGGACTCCCGCCGGGGTTCGGATACCTCAGGGCTCCGCTCCTTCAGCGGTGTCTGTCCAACCGGGGGTCCCGGTGGCTCCCAGATCCGGTTCTAATGAGATTCTTCCATCTCTGTCTCTCCCCGCTCTGTGCAGGGTCACCAATGGTGGCAAAACCACCTTGACCAACAGGCTCATCAAGGCGCTCCCCAACTGCTGCGTCGTCCATCAGGATGATTTCTTCAAGGTAAGTTGAATCCCCTCTTCCTTGCAGCGTTAATTGTACTGCAAGGCAAGTCAGTTTTGACAGTTTAGGAGCCACAAGCTTTCTGGTTTTGTGGGTTTTTTTAAATATATATATATTTAATTTTTAAATGACTGGGCAGGTGGGGAGTTCCTGACCTTTATAAATGCCACAGGAGCTTGCTATGACCCCGCTCAGTCCAGTCGCAGAAAAACCACCTTTAAGTGTTCACAACAGATTTAAATTTACTACTGATATCAGGCAGAGGTTATTTACTGCTCATGATTTTCTCTAGATTGGGATTTCCCACCTTATTTTATTAAACTAATAATGAGACTGCTAAATGATGCTTTAGGATTTAAGCACCTCTATGCTGGTTTAAATACAGAAAGGAGGTTTCATGGGGGAGCTTTGCTAGATCTATATCAAAATCCAATTAAAGTATTGCAGAGATTAATGCAGAAGACGCTCGCTGCCTTCTGTCTGGGAGTGCAGAATGTTCCTAACCCTGCACCATTTCATGGGAATGATGATATCCCTGGACCCCACCAGGTGTGGAAGTCCAAGAGATGCAGGAATGGGCTTGGAGCAGTTGTGGGTCATCCCCAAAACATGAAGTGCTCCAGCCCCAGCATCGTGTGCTCAGTCTGTCCTGCGCAGATTTGATCACTTAGGAGCCCTTGGGGGAGGAATTCTGTTTGATTCTCCATAAAAATCTGTAACTTCTCTTTAGAGTGAATGCCAGGATGAGGAAAGCAGTAACTGAGCAACCAAAGTGCTGCTATGCCCATCTGCATTTGTAGTAGAGGAGTTCAAATACCTGTTCTTTAAAAAAAATGTACATTCTAGCACTTGTTTAACTGTATTTGCACTTTAAAATCCTTACATTTAAAAACAATGCTCTGTAGTATTGTATAACAAACAATGTATCCAGTGATTAACGTAAAAGTCTTTATCCAAAGTGGTTTGAGTGAGCCAAGGGAACTTTCCAGAGCAACTTGGGGTGGGGAAAGCTGGGAATGTGAATGTTCTGCAGCCCCAGGCAGTGCCCAGGGGTGGTTGTGTGTTGCAGTAGTGGCCAGGTGCTGATGGCATCGGAGGGAACTGATCCCGCTGAGGTTGCAGCAATGTTTTATTGCTCACTATATTTCAGCCACAAGATCAAATAGAAGTCGGGGAAGACGGCTTTAAACAATGGGATGGTAAGAGCAGTGTTCCCTATAGGATGCAGTAATGTATATTCCTTTCCTAAGTATTTCTTTTTCATTATTAAAAGCTTTAACAGTAAATTTCCGTAACTGTAACTTTACCAAGCTCAATCTATTTCATCCTTTCGAGCCCGTGGTGTTTGATGGTGTTTGATGGTGTCCCTTTTTCCCACCCACCCCCTTTCTCCTGACTAGTGTTGGATTCCTTGGATATGGAGGCAATGGTGAGCACCGTGCGGGCCTGGATTGAGAACCCAGTGAAGTTTGCCCGTTCGCACGGGGTGAATGTCACACCTGGCTCTAGAGAGCCAACCTCCCAAGATATCCATGTATTGGTCATTGAAGGCTTCCTGCTTTATAATTACAAGTAAGGTTTGGAGAACTCTTCATGGTTTGCCAGGGAAGATCTTTAAATCCCCCGTGCCAGAGCAAAAAAACCCTTTTGGCTAATTTCCCCTTCCTGCCTTGTTTTGAATTTCTCACCCCTGAGGGTTTTCTGCTGTAAAATGTAAAATTAATGATATAGGGCACAGCCTTGAACTCCAGGGGAGTGTTTGGAAGGGGCCTCAAAGCCCATCCAGCTCCAAGCCCTGTCCAACCTGGCCTTGGACACTCCCATGAACACAAGCTGAGGAGTTGCCCTGTCCCAGATTTTGCTGCAAACTGATTTGGAATGATCCAGGAAGAGCCAGGGTTCCCAGCCCAGTGCCTGATCCTCCACAGGATCCCCTCTGATCCCTTCCAGGACCAGTAGCAGATGTTTGGGTGGGAAAAGTCCCTGCTTGGGCCTTCAGAAAGAAGTTTTCCATGGTTTTGAGTTAACAGACCCGTGAGGGAAGCACTTACCCATGTGTTGTCTTCAACAGACACAAGTCCCATAGAGGCAGAGGGATTTTTGTGGTGTCTGGGGTGATTTCATGCTTTTTCCTGTCACTAAAAGTGAGATCTCCACGCTGTGTCCTTGTCCTCTCCCCAGACCTCTGATAGAGCTGTTTGACCTTCGCTACTACCTGGCAGTGCCGTACGACGAGTGCAAGAGGAGGAGGAGGTGAGAACATTCCTGGCTGTGCATCCACTCCTTCCCTCTGCTCCTTTACTTTGCTCTTGGTCATGGAATCCTGGAATGGTTGGGGTTGGAAGGGACCTTAAAGATCATCTCATCCCACCACACCTCCCACCATCCCAGGCTGCTCCAGCCTGGCCTTGAACGCTTCCAGGGTTGGGAATGCAGTTTCTGGGATGTATTGGTGTCATGA